GATATTTAATAAATAAAGGTAACACACACAATGCTAAAAAACGATCCTTTGGACCTAATTTAAAATCTGAAACTTTTCAGATTTTCTTTTCTTTTCTTTTTTTTTTTTGTTTTAAATTTAATCCATCTAATTAAAGCAAAACAACAACGCTGATTTTTGTTATTTGACTTCAAATTTAATTGATAACAAACTAAGTTATTTAAAAGCAATAAACACAATTTTTAAGAATATTCCTTTTTTTACTTTTTAATTGGATTGATTTAAGTGAAAATGCATTCAATTCATGGCACATCTAACTAAAATCATTAAATAATTTTATAGAATTACTCTAAATATTTTTCACTTTTCAAATGTACAAAAGTTAATAATAAAATAATCTTTTCATGTCAGTCAAAATCTATATTCGCTAGTAGCTTAGAAAATGTTCGCTATTTCACCTGAGTACTCTCTACTGATAATCTCTACCGATAAACCATATATAAATTTTGAAACAGCTGTTTTGGGTGACCGTTAAAATCTGAGCGCTTTCCGAGTTTTTTCTTTATTTCTTTACTTTTTTTGTGAATGACAAAATTGAGATTTTGAAACAAAATTTAACCAGACAGACAGATAGACCCAAATAGAACTATCAGTGCTTCGCATTCCCAGAGATCCGCACCTTGTTTAATTTTTTAAATTACATTTTAAAAATGTTTTAAAAAATTCTATAAGCACAGCCCAAAACAATTATTTAAATGTCTGCCATGAGTGTCATTAATAATCAATAAAATGTATAGAACTGCGTCACTGGAGATCTCGTATATTTCTTAATGAGTCATCCCGACTCATAGTAACTTCTGAAAGTCTAAATTTTGTAAGTATCGCAATGGAAATTGATTTTGACTTGATTATAAACTACTTTAAATTGTGGTACAAGGAAAAGAATATGAACTTACTTTAAACTGGGCCCACCAGCGGCCGAGCGGTAAAGTCGCTGAACACTGGTAGTTCGGTCCGAGGTTCGAATCCCGCGGACGGGCTGGCTGCATGGGTGTTTTCGTGGTTTTCCCCATGTGTAACGTGTATACGAGCCAGTTTCCCTTAGAAAGTCCTCCACGAAAGGCATCCCTCCTCTTAGGCAGATAGCCCTAGTGTGCTTTGCCATAATTAAATACACCACACCACACTACTTTAAACTGTAAATCTCGGTTTTATATGACTGAGACAAATATGAATTCAAATATCAAATGTTATTAAGGGAAGGACGGTGGTTAATTGATTAAAGCACAACGCACAAGGGGTATCTGCCTAAGTGAAGGAGTGCCTTCGTGGAGGATTTTTAAAGGAAACTGATTCATATTATGATTGGTGGGTAAAAGAGCAGGATAAAGCTGTCTTTAAACAAACTATGGGTGCGATATAAAATGGACTGGTATTATGAATAAAGCTGCAAGAAAGGGCGGTGAGAGTTTTTTCCTTGTATTCATTTATAATTTAGTATGTTTTACCGAATAATTAATCGGATTCTTACTAAACAAATTGCAAGAAGATCATACAAGATACTTTTTCTATTCTATTATTATTTATTTTACTTGATTCTTTGTTTGGTTCGGGTTCAAATCTCGGAGAATGGGATCGTTCCATAACAGGTTTTATGGTTTTTATCTTGTGTGGTAATGTCTCTTGTGTCAATGTAATATATGAATAGCTGTAAACTTCCAAACCGATAATAATCATCCTCATGGTTAACACAGCTCACCTAAAACACACACACACACACAAAGGGATACTCAAAAACCAATAATTAATACCAAGAAATAAAATAAAATAAAATACAGGGTGTTTATAAAGTCCCGGACTCATTTTGATGTTTAATAACTCATAAAATAATAAAGATAGATTAAAATTAATAACATAAATGGTTAGATAGACTCACAAATTTCATGACCCTTGTCAATGAACTTCCACGCGTGCCTTCTTCGTCGCACGGAGAATATCAAGTCGATATTTAATTTCACGCCAGGTACCGGCAAGCATGTCGGCATCCACAGAGGGTATTGCGGTTGTAATTCTGGCTTTTAGGTCATCAATGTTCGACACTCTCCTCCTGTAAACGTTGTCCTTCACAAATCCCCAAAGGAAAAAGTCCATCGGCGTTATATCAGGTAACCAAAAACAAAAGAGAGAAAAATGCAATTAATAAGCAGACAATATTTAGAAAAGTACAGATATTTAGATTGGAAAATGAAATTATCTGAAATTAACCCCAATCGCAGACGATATTTACAAAAGTAAAGATATTCAAACCTGAAAAGGAAAATATATAAGTTATTCCATCAATAAATGCCATAAGTTTGTTTATATCATCATTATTTTATGAGTTATTAAACATCAAAATGGGTCCGGGACTTTATAAACACCCTGTATGTACAATTACAAATATCAAATTAAAATTCCCAGCTCTGTTCTATTACCATTTACACGACTCATCAACTCCTTTGAAAATTAAAACCTTTTTGTGGCAATAGGATCCCTTTATGTTGCCATGTTTTTCCCTAACATCACACAAAAATACACAATCTTCGACGAAATGTCTTGCATTGCTTTCAGCATCCAAAATTTACAAATTAAATCTTTTCAAAGACGATGCTCAGTAATTATTTGATTGTAATCAATATCGCATATCATTCTCATATTCTTAGAAACTTCGAAGTTTAAAAGATAACCTTTCTTTTTATCCGAAATGTTTCATTGTTCTTCCCAGCAGTCAAAATAAAATCTTCAATTTTTCCAAAACAATTCTTTTTGATGCCTGAATATCGAACGCATCTCTGGCAATACCCCTAGCAGCTTCATATGTGGTTAGTTAGTTAGTTAGGATCTGAGCTTAACTCAGCTGACCTACTGAATGTAAATTCATCTTATAGCCAAAAATGGGACCCGAGAGAAAACCAAGATGAGGAGGTGGGGAATAAAAAAACAGAAAAATAAGAAACAGAGAAACAGAAAAATAAGAAAACAAACACAAAAGGGAATATTATGAAGTAAAATAAAGTAAAAGGAAAACTCATAATCGTAGTAATGATAATCTACTCTAATGTAATATCGAGTGTGCTGCAACCCTCTTGCCCTATAATAATCAACCTCATAGTTAACGCAGCACACTCAATACAGTTTAAAACAAAAATACAGTTAAAAACATCAAATAAAAATTCTCAGTATTAACTACAATATAGTTCTCATATTAACTACAATATAGTTATAGTAAATAATAAATATGGGAATGATTGCATTCATTCCCTTAAATTTCTCTTTGTCAGTTTAGAATTGAAATTAATCATGCTCATCAACGGCCAAGTGGTAAAACTGCTGAACATTAATATTTCAAGCTGGGTTCAAATCCCGTGTAACGGATCGATTGCATGAGCATTATCGTGGTTTCCTTGGTGTGTAAGATGGATGGAAACACGTTTCCTTTAGAAACTACTCCATCAAGGCAAACTTTCCTCTAGGGACTCGAGCTCCGAAACGAACTATCAGAGTTCAGCGACTTTAGCGCGCAGCCGCTGAGGGGCCTAATGAATTAATCTTGCCGGGATCAAACCCCAGCGAGTGGACTAGCTGCAAGAGAATTTTCATGTTTGTTTTTGACTAATCGTCAGCCCAATAAAAATCTTCGTTGCAATTAGCACAGCACTACGCCTATCGGTGGCAACAGTATACAGGTGACAGTGCGATTTAATCAGTTCCGCTCCCAAATTTTGATGGAGAGCATCCTGGGAAAACGGGTCCGAGGGCCTCCCACCACTCTTTCCCTAACACCAACTTCTCGAGAGGACGTTCGGCTCTCCACATATTTAGAGTGCCCACATACAGTTACAAACATCTATGCCTTCTCCAGGATTCGACCCCGACCCCTTCGGTACGGCAGTCAGCGACGCTAACCACTATACCGGTTGGGCGATAATTTTCATGGCTCATTTCAGATCTAAAGTGAATACGAAACAGTTACCCTTGAGGCATTTTAAGAAGAAATCCTTTCTATTATGCGTGTTGCCCTTCTGTATTTTGCCTTAATCAATTAATGTAGGAATGCTTAAGCATGGAGAATTCATAGTTCCGGTGGGGGAGGGGGTTGAATGCGGTCAGTCTTTTGTTTACCTGTTAAGTACTTGTTTTTTTGCTTAATTTATGAAACATATTAAAAGTAACCGTAGATCTAAATAAAGTATATATATTTTCCGAGTTTGGGGATGGAGGGGGATGATAGTCTAGCAGTGGTGAAAAGCGTGCATGGATTAAAAAATTTGAGAACCATCGAACATTTATATTTTAGATTTTTGTAATTAACAATATTCTTCTTTTGATGGTCAGCAAAGAGTTCGGCTCGTATTCCAGTTACGTACTGCAGTAGGCGTAAACTAACAAATCTTTTATTACAAAATTACAACTTGATAAACATCGCGCGTATTTGGGAAAAAAGAATTGCTTCATCATGAAACCGCCGAAGGTTAATCATGCTTCATCATGAAACCGCCATAGCTAAAATTTTTTTCAAAACATTTTTTTTTACATTTGATTAAAAATAGGTAATAAAAAGTGCTTTTTGTACATTTTAAATTGATTTTTCAGATTTGGGGGGGGGTATATTACTAGTGATGATACACATAGTATGCCATTAAATATATATATTTTTATTTTCTTTGAGGATCGACAGCAATCTCACGAGTTTAGAAACAAAAAAAGTTTCTTTCTTTGTTTATGTAGACATATTTCATTATTTCTCAATTAATAGATGTCAGTTTTCTGAAGTGTTTGCTGCAGTTCTTGAATTCATTTTATTTTGTGGCAACTATGAGGTAATCTTATTCCATGGAGAGAAACGTTAAAATTTTCCTTATATTCAAGGTGTTTCTCTTTTTTTTTTTTTTCGTTGATGGATTCCCACAGAGAAGAGAAACACTTGAAAATCTGACATAAGGTCCCAAAGTTTTCGCCAAGGATATTATATATTTCGCCAAACATCAGCTTCCCTCAGTCTTCCTCGTCTTGCTAGGAAATTTAAAGAAGACAAGAAAATGAAGGAGGTCTATCTGTTATTTCTTTTGATTGGAGTAAATGCAATTCCTCTTGGAATTAATGCATATGTTTTTCAACACGATTTAGACACCAAAAATGGTAAGAATTTAGTTGCATAATTTATAAAATTTTTTTAAATATTTTTTAATTAAACATCAATTATTAATTTTAAGAGTAAAAAAAAGAAAAGCACTATTTCAAATATATTATTTTCAGATGACAAAGCTTTGTTTTAATTTGCTTTGTCTGCGATACGATTTCTGTTATCACTACTTTAAAATTTTTCTTGATTGCTTTTCTTTCCTCTTCTTCTTTCTTTCTTTTCTTTCCCCATGTATCTATCTTTTTTCTAAAGCAACAATTTTTATTTTAGACCATTGTCTCTCTAATTTGATGCACATAATCAATATCTTTTAATACCTATTTATTGTTCTTTCTTTTTTTTTTTCATCCGTTTGTGTCAAAAGAATCAAAACGACTCTGTTTATTAAAAACTTTTAAGTAATATAAAAATATTTTACATACAAAGCACCTTTTCATTTAATTTTAAAAGATACTAAAACGTTAATATGCAGCTAAATCAATATTTGCAAATGTCTTTTAAAAAACAATCCATATGATATTTCAGAACTTTATTTTCTTATTTGGATAGTCTTTCTTATGTACAATACATCGTGCACCCAAAAGTATTTACCTGTTCTTGATTTTTGCAACCATTCGTCATAGACGTTTACTTGGAGTTACAAAAACGTTATAAATGACACAAATATTCATGTTTTGTCATTTTTTTTTTAATTTAAAGAAATAAATTTTGTAAAATTGCCAGATCTAAATTTTTACACATTTGTTCGGTCTTACTTATATCTAAGAACATTTTATACTCCCTATATGAAAAATAAAACACCAAATGTTTGACATCTGTACAAGGAACTTTGAGCGAGACGTCTGAAATAAAAATCAGGTATCATATTTAGGAACAGTACATAAATTAAAGAGCGAAATATTTGCATTCGCGCGTAACTATAAATAAAATATCGTTAAGAAATTACGTGACAAGCATTTCTATGCAGAATATTTTGAAAAATATTGATCAATATAATTTTTGTTTTTGAAAAGGAGATCTTATTTACAGAATTTTATATAATTTGTGTTCTAGAAATTATTGGCAGGTTTCACAGCACTGGTATGAGAATATTAACAATGTACTTTTAGACCTTGAAAATTATAAATTACGTGCGTGAAAAATCTTTCGTCACATCAACTATGAGAAAGTTATAAATAAAGACACCACTAACTTACGAAAGAATATCATTAAGTAGCATTTATGAGGGAAAAATCAGTCTCAAATCATCCTAGTTTATTTATTAACCGGCCCTTCAATGTAAATTCAAAATGATGTCAAATACCGAAAAATATATCGGCCATTTTGTCGTATGGAAGACAAACATTTCATGTTTTATTCTTCATAAGGAGTACAATATTTTCCTAAACATAAGCATAGATACTGGAGGATTGTATAAAAACACGAAATTAATTTTACTAAATTTAAAAATACAAACACAAGAAACTTTTCGACGTATAAAACATTTTTATAATTGGTAATCTATGGCAAAAGATTGCGAAATTAAAGACTGAATGAGGACTTTTGTAGACAAGTTGTATAAAATCTTGTTATTTTATTAAAATCTGCTTCAGTGAAAAAGAGTGAAAATTCTGCAAAATCACTGAAAATCTGCTTCAGATCTCTCTAAAATAACTGATTTAACGCTGAAAATTACTTCGGCCGATTAAATAAATTATAAAGAAATTAAATAATACTCTCAGATAAAGCATCCATACCATATTAAAACTAAGACATTTCTATCTTTAATTAACTTTCTTTCACCTCTGCATTCTAAAATGAATTTCGTTCTTTCTTTTCTTCTTTCCTCCTGTTTAACAAGTCACTTGATTGGCCAACTTTCAATCTGGCTTGCATACTTCGCCAAACTGACGGTTTGGTTTGCTTATTATTTCAAATCACTCGAGAGCTGTCTGTTAAAATGATATTTTCCTGGAAGACCTTCTAAGGAAAATTGGCTCGTATTTTACATTGAACATCAGGAAAACTACGAAAATGCCCATGTAACTTGTGCGTTCACCAGCTTTTAAACGCCGCCAAAGCAAAAGCTGATTATATAAACAGGTAGTTGTAACAATGAAGTTTGAAGAGACCTCGTTATATGATCCTTTCAAAGAGCTTCTCTAAATAGGGGAGAAATAAATACAAGCTAATTTACCCTATTCTTAAGTAGATAGACTCATGTGCTTGCCACAATTTAAATAACCCCATTTATTAAGTAATATGTTTGTTTAGGCTGTGTGTGTATCATTTTCGCGAATTTTTAGAAATTTCGCGAATATTAAATAAATCCACGAATTTCAGATTTTTCTTTATTTACCAATTTCTGTTACGATTATCAGATTAATTTTCTTATTTAAATGCTTATTTATATTCCAATGCTTCTTTCTTTATTTGCTTTTTTTTTATTTAATAAAATATTTAACAACGTTGCATTAAAGAAGAAAATGCATGTATAATATCGTGTATTGAAAAGCGTTTTATTTAACTAAAAATAACACGCAGCACTATTTTAAAACTAGAATTGGAGTTGTTTGCAAATACGTAAATATTAATGTAAAAACATGTATAATACAATACACATTTAATTATTTGTTACTAATTTGTTTTATTGTTTCTTATCTGAAAAGATATTCTTATGCTTCTCAAATATACAATTTTGAATAATCGGATGCTAAGTTTTCGAGCAATTCTTAGTCTAATTTTAGGACTCGAAATTTTGGTGAAATTATTAGCGTAAATCAGAGACCTCAAATTTTTCTCGCAAATTTTCTTAATCCGAAATTTGAGATCTACTTAGCAACAGATCCGAAAACATTATCTATTCTTTCCGATTTATTTAAATGATATACTATGAGTACAGCATTTAATAGCGTAAGTTAGCTTTCAAATTATAAAGCGTTGTTTGGATGCTAAGTTAAAAAGAATCAGCGATAATTTCGATTATTGAAAATTACCGCTGACCCTTGTTTTCTTAGTATCTTCACTAATTGTAATTCGGCGTGTTATTTTTACTTACATTATAAGGCGTTGCTTTATGCACCAAAAAAAGAAAAAAATGAACAGAAATTTCACACGCAGTTATCATAGTAGACTATCGCTAAAAGTGCATTTTAGTGTAAGCTCTAAGGTTTTCCCATGCCCTAAAAACCTAGCAGTGAAAATTTCGCGAATTTAAATTTCCTAAAACAATAGCAGAGAAGAGATTTGAGGAGTGAAAAAGAAGGTAGAGGCGTTAAGGAAGCATATGGAACGTTTTGTATTGATTTCCGCTGTATAATCTTGAAGACTTGAGCAGGGAATAGTGCGACTAAATTCACATGATGACGAGACCTCTACTCAGCTGCGTAGCATATAATCTCAGCTGGAAATCTAGTCTATTACTTTAAAATAGAGACTTCAAGGTTATTTTCCGCCCGCCTTATGTGACTCGTAACCACAGAAAAATACCGCTGAACCAGTCTTGAATATTAAGGTGGGGAAAATAAATGTAAGGTGATCACGACACGAGTTACGTTCGCAAAGGAGATGAATGGCAACGGCTTTGAAATGCCTATTTTAAAGAAACAGGTTATAGGAGTTCTGGTAGTAGCTGACTTTAGTTCTGCCAATATTTGAACTATGTCATCAAATTTTAGCTTTCCGGAAGAATTTTTCTTTGATCCCAGATCTGGATTAACAGCAAACAAACTAAGCATCTGCTTAGGCACCAAGGAAAGAAGGCACTACAAAAAAGTGCTTTGAAATCGCCCAAAGGGGCATGACAAAAATTTCCCAATGCCTGCTTTACCCTGGATTACTGTTTTTTTTTTATTTGGTTAAGGCAAAGCACTCAAAGGCTGTCTCCCTAAAGGAGGGATACCTTCGTGGAGGACATTTTATGGGAAACTTGATTGTATCCACGTGCTTAGTATCCATGTCACACATGAGAAAAACTATGAAAAAGCCCATGCAGCGATCTCGTTGGCCTGGATTCGAACTCTGTTGAAATAACAGTAATTAGTGACTTTAAAAATTGTCCAATAATGAGCTGTTACCAAAGAATATATAGTGCAACTAAAACAAGATCGAGAGAAAATAAATGGCGTAAATGTTTATGGGGGCACCCAAATCTTTTAGGCTCTTAGAACCTATAATCTGCTTAATCTGGTCTTGATTTATTCCATTAAGTAATTTTTTTCTAAAATAACTAAATTTTCTAAAATAATTTAAATTACTTAATGGAAATTATTAGAAATACTATTTTCTAAAATAGTATTTCTAATAATTTCCATTAAGTAATTTTTTAAGTAATTTTTTGTTGTAAGTCTCTGTATTATGCAAATTGGCCGAGCTGTTTAAATTGCTAAACACTGGTAGTTCGAAAGTTTTCCTAATTTTCCCCAAGTGCTACGTTGATACGAGAAAATAATATACATCACTTAGAAAGTCCTCCAACGTAAGTATACTTCTCCTTAGGCAGAGAGCCCTTGTGTGTTTCGCCATAATCTATAATCCAATTCATTCCATTCATGAAGTATAGTCTTCCCGTCATATATAATCTCAATTTAGCCTAATCTAAATTATTGTAATTCTGTACGAAAATTAAGAATTTCACATGGTGTCTCTACAGCCTCGATGAGATTAGCTTTCTTCATGATACCAAACATCATTAGGCTGATCAATCTGCGTTTATGTCAGGGCACCCTTGTGTCATAGCGAGCGCACATCAAACTAGAGAAAGGCGCCTTCTGCACCACTGTGCAAGGTGAAGACTATTCGTCAAAACTAAGATCTTCACATTGACATCTTTATGCCTTCATGTCCTAAAACGTTTGGCTTGATGAATGAAGGGTAAAATAAAAAAAAGGTGCCACCCCAGAAAACAGCAAGAGTGTAAAACAGACTTTTATTAAAAACTGCACTCATTTATATATCTGTTGGAGTATACTAATAGGGGGAATACAGGACAGTTTTAGCAGCAGAAGCAAGAAGATTTGAGTTAATATGAAGATTACTGATAATTCTCAAAGAAATTATTTTAAAGCACTTGGAATGGTTACAATTCATTGTTTGAAACAAATGCCTAAGCTGAGGACGGGTAAGTAATAATTGGACAAACGTGTTTTTTCACAATATTTACATGTGATTCCAAAATCATATAATTTAGAATGATACTAAAATCTAAAAAACAAAGAATGGCAAGAATTATTCACTTAGACTGAAGCTAAAACAAAAAGTGGCGAACGCTATACATGCCTTGATATTATGAAAAATAAAGCTTTAATTATAATGTTTCTTCTAAAACACTGAATGTTGGTTCTTACAGGCTTTTGCGAAGGTCCTGATTACGGCCGCATTCCAGTAGGCAGTACTGGCTATAATGATGAAAAATGTGAGAAATATGTATGCGAAGAGAACCATCTCACCGGTGAAGGGTAAGCAATCCACATTTTTCACTCTGCTATTTTACATGCTGTAATTAGTTTTATATGTTAGAAATCAGTGAAACCGAAGAAGTGTGCGTAGTCATTCTAACCAACGTATTATTCATTTTGTCGAAGAGTTGCCGAAAACTTTTTGCAAGACAAAAGTATCATCCACAAGCAAGACGCTCAGAAAACCATTAAGTAAAACTGCATTTTACTAGTATGCAGTTTACTGATCAGAACACCCAGATGGCGCTGCAACAAAAGATTGAATTGTGGGAAAAAAGTGTCTGATGTGAACACCACATGACTTCCATGTAAGATCTTTTAAATTACAGAGACGTTTTGCTCTACCTTTATTTAAACTTATTTCCTCGAATCATTCTATCTTAATAAGCCGATAGCTCAAGGCAAGTTGAAATGACATCAAAAACTGCAAAGTTTGAAATTAAATATCCCGGGGAATTTTTATCGTTCGGTTGTCAAACTTCTCTTATTTTTATTTTTTCATAACGAGTATAAAATTTTCCAAAATATAAGTATAGGAACCGAGAGACCGCTTTAAAACTTAGATTTCGTTATTTGCTCAAATTTCTTTCTTAAATTTGATATTGCGAAATCCTGAATATTTTCGCTATTTGAAACACTTCTGTAACTGGAAATACATGACTACCACCGGTTAAGGACTTTCTAAGGCAGAATAAGAGGTTGGGTACTACCGATTGCAATGAAAAAGGTAGGTGCACAACTAGATGTTACAAAAGTTTCATATGCAAAATTTAAGCATTCTGAGGCTAATCGTTTTCGAGTTATGCGAGATACATAAGTATGTGAAGACTTCACGAAAAATTCCATTTTCAATTCCTTTTACAATCCTTTTTGGAATAAAGAGTCTTTTATTCAGTCCGTACGTATCGATGTCACGCAAAAAAAAAGTCAAAATGGATTCATGAATTATCAAAATGGGTATTTCCATTGAAATCTGATAACCGAAATTTTTCGCGATTACAATACTTTCTTTACTTCATACAAGGAAGTAAAATGATTTACAAAGCTGGATGCTAAATCGAATATTGAAACATTTCCTTTATAGCTGTTCGTTTTATATGTCACATTAGTAGAATTCTGTTAATTAAAACTAGAAATGAATTACTCTACAACTGTCAATTGGAATAATGACAAATCTTTTCTTGTTTGTGAATTTTTTTCTTTGTTTTCCTATTTATTTTATATTTAATATGACTTCTGTAAATAAAAATACTTTCAAAAGTACTTAGGTTTCTGTTACTATTCTATGTACTCCTAACTTTAGTTTGCTTACTGTGAGGTACTGGTTTTGACAGAAGTCTTTTTAATAAATATATATATTTAGGAACAAAGCGCAAATACGAATTTATCAATAATTAATTTATTTCAAGGCCTTTCATGAATTGGTAGTTAAATTAAATGAATAATTTAGATCTTTATTCGGTACTTACGAATTTTGTCGTCACCTGCTTTCAGCATGTCGCCAAATAGTGTAATTTATCGTCAGTAATGGTTAAGCTTGACTTCACAACACATTCATAAGAACTTCATTTCGAATTTAGGTAAACCCGACCTTCAGTAAACTAGATTAGGTTTTGTGAGGGGTTAACTGTTGTTATTTTTCGGTTTTTCTCTTACTTTTTTGATAAAAGGATTAAAGTTTCGGACCTGCATTCTACAAAATAGGAAGCAATGAAGTATTTAAAAAGTTTCGAGACTGGTGATATTGATATGCATACTCGAAACATTTAAAAGAAGGTGTAGTTCGTTAAAATAGCACAGTAAAAGACATCGCAGAACACCCTTTTCAGGTTCGTAGTTACATGATTTTGCGTGACATTGACTTCATAAAAAAGGTGAAAGTTTCGTTGTTACTTTATACTCCATTGCAGTGTTCCACAGCCGGAATGACTGGCTTTAATTTCTTTGCCATATAATCCCAAAACTTGAGCTTAGTTATTCCAGTTTTTATATTCCCCATTCGTAACTTGTGTTTTCTGATTATCTAATTACATATACAGTAATCTGTTAATATCTAACTAAAGAGAAAGCAATCTACTCTTTAAAACGTCGACCGGAATCGTTGGCAAAAACTCCGAAAACTTTTCCGGTCGATGGGACAATAAGTACTCCATATTTCCTGTAACAACAGAAAACTAAATTTATAACTAGGACAACAGAAGCCAATGTTTGTCCATACTTTTTAATTTTAAATGAATAGTGGCAGTTAGTGGATTATTTAAATGGAGGTACAAGAAACAAATTTCGAAAATTAAATGCGCAGAAACGACGTAATTTGCTTGCGTACATTTGCTTTGCGAAAAAGTGCAAATAAAAAAATGTTCTCATTAAGTAAAAATTGTCACATTTTATTTATTACAATGGACTGCAATAAAACGATAATATTGCTTACGACATATCTTTGAACGTTGTAATAAAATCGTGAAATGCAATTTCTGTAAATTAAATGCGCTCATATGCAGTTTTGGGAGACAAACAAATCAATAACGTTTTCATTTAGGTGTGTTCTTTATCATGCTTGCTTTCGGTTGACTGAAAGAACAGATGATTTCATTTAAGATAGAGATATCACTGGTTATCTGCAAAAAGAAAGATGGTTTCATGGAGGAAGTTTTTGGGGAAGTTAGTTCCTTTATCAGTTATTCACGGGAAAACAGTGAAACTACCCATGCAGCCAGCCTACAAGGAGATTCGATCTTGATCGAATTGCTTGTGTTCAGTAGTTTTACCTACCGCTCCACTGGTGACCCAAAAGAGAAAAATATAAGTGTTCAGTTATAAATTTGATACTTTCGTATTAAACTCATGCCATTAGCGAATGTTCAACACGTTTTATTTCGGGTGGAATTGCCCTTAGGATGGCATCAAACATATCATTATCATAATGATGCTTGTTTTTTTCCCTCCATTTATATGGAGGAACGAGTAGGATTGAAGTGATGGGGAGATGCCTCCTCCATTTTTACATTTCGCCATTTTGCGCTTCCCTAGATGCATTTTACTATATTTATGTATGGATGCTAGTTTCAGGGTTCATAAAATAATATTCATGGTTTACTTGGCAGTGAATTCAATGAAATATATCTAGTTATTCGATGAATCAATGAAATTCAATGAATCAATGAACTACTTTTTCTAGTTCTTACTCTGACCTCCTTCGACAGCAACTTTTCTACATACATTACTATTAGTATACTTAAGTAAATATGCTTATAGAAAAAAACTACGTTTCTTTTCAATAACTGAAGGCTATTAGTGTTGGTATAATCTTTATGTTATTAATTAAAAATCAAATTATAGGATTCTTATCTTCTTATCTTTTTCAACCATAGAGAGAGAGAGACAGAGAGTTTCTGGCGTTTACACCGCCTTGTTAGAATTTTGACAGCTCTATAGAAAGGTGATTAAAAGTTTTGCACTCACTTGCAGCCGAAACTTTAAACTTACTGATAAAATAAACTGAGCCAGCTTATAACTACTATTTGAATGAGTAGTAGTAGACTCCTTTATGAACGTTTAAATTTATTTGACTGTTATTGTTTAATTTACGTAGCCACGAGTAGTGGTTCTTTTATGTTACAAATTCAGAACAAATAATAAAGTTACTTAAAACTTTTGCAAGTCTTTGTCTTGTTATACAAGACGTAGTAATAACTATCTAATTTGTCTAGTAGAATTTTAGGACTTAAATTCAGTTTTCAAATAAACAGCAAACTTGTAGAGACATTTTCGCCGGAAATCGAACCGCGGACCTCTCAATTACGCGCTGAGCATGCAGAGCGCTACACCACGAAGGCTCGCTAATAAGGCGGGAGAAATACCTTATAACCTTGCAAAATAATGCAGGCACTAGCATTAATGAGATGGTTGAGCTTGGTGATTCTTGCGTAACTATTCTACGTTTCGATGTATGCTAGTAAGAAGCATCATAATCGTAGCGATTTAAATCCCTGTTCTGTCGTTAAGACTACACTAAGAAGGCCTTAGGTAGGATTAGTTGGTAATAAATTTCATAAACTGTTAGTATTGGGATAAAACGTGACAGACGATTGACCTGAATAATTTTCAGACTCTCAAATTTCCATCTGAAATTTATTTTCGTCTTTTTCAGAAATCTAGGACAACAAGGGAAGACTTCGAAACCACAGTTTGAGAAGCGCCTTATACAGTTATAGCAATTGAATATAAACTGAGTTTCGCAATAGCCTACAATACATTGAGAGTAATTACGAGACATTATGCACAGTTGAAAGTGTTTCTTCTTACAAATTTGCAATGACAGTCAATGTGGTTATTTTGTAGTAATCATTTTATTATTAAGATATTTTTGTATTTGATTCACCTAAAGTTTAGAAAGAATTGATAACTTATGTTGCATTTTAGGTGCGGTTCTGTGAGAGCAGGCGATGGTTGCTGGCTTGTTCGTGGATCAGGACGTTATCCAGCTTGCTGCCCAAGTGTCAGATGCGCAAATACTGAACATTCAGACGGCTGAAGGAACTACGAACTGAAGCAAATAGCATATAAATTAATCAAAAGCTACATTTTTCTATCTGATCAGGATGATCAATATATACGCTATGGTCAATATGTACGCTACATCGATAATCAAAACGTCTGATAACGTATGCTTATGTCCCGCGTTTGATTATGTCTAATAACAACTTGCATTTTTGCATGATAAAATTGTTAAATGCTACTTCATGCAGACGTTAGATTTGAATATTAAAAATTTTATATTATCCTGCATTACATGAGTTAGTCTTTCTTGCCTTCTGTGGATACTTATTGTTAAGTTATGTGACTACTCTTCTAATAAACTCTTTGCCAAATTCATTGGGACATTTTACTAATTTCTGACAACTAACGTTCTTTTAAAAAACTTTATTCGCAATGAAAAGTTTTATCCGATAGGGATAGTTCCGTGTGCACAGGCAGTGGCATCATTCTACGCAGATGAAAGTACTGAAATATGCAGAATTTTGGGATTAGGATTGAGTATCGAAGTACGTTCCTTCTGAATTAAATGTGCATCGCTGGAAAGGTAGCGAAAAATTTCTGTTGATATTTTATTGAATGTCAATGAATTTATTGATTAAATTTTCAGATAGAGCCTTTTAAAACATTAACATATTGTTTTTTTTTAAATATATAACAAAATTATGTTAAGATTGTTAGAAATCTTAATTTTATTTGAAGAATAACTAAATGGTGCATTTTTTAAGATACAATTTGACATCTGAGCATGGAAGGAATTTAACTGCTAGCATGCGCAAAACAGAGTAAGATAGGACTTCTTTTTTAAACAGTTTTGTTGTTTATGACAAAACAACAAAACAACAGACAACAAAATTAAATTCTTAATATCAAAGGGGTGGGGAAACAAATTTTAAAATTTGTCAATGAAAATCTAAAATGAATCTTTTAGCCATATCCTCATTGGCCCAATTAGAACTATAATGAATATGTATGCAATATGGTTTAAATACAGTAGCTCACATTTATTTTCTATCTGATATAATCTATCTGGATGATATCATCATCGTCGGGAACAGTTTTGAAGAACACTTAGAAAATCTTAGAAAGGTGCTTCAGAAACTGAAAGAAGCCAATCTAAAGTTAAGTCCCACCAAATGTAAGTTGTTCAGACAGGAAATGAGTTATCTCGGACATGTCATCGCCTAAGGTGTGTCTCCATATTCAAAAAACGTGTCTGAAGTTAAGGACTGAAGACGCACCAAAAATGTCCAAAAGCTGAGAAGTTTCCTAGCGCTTTGCACGTAATATAGGAGATTTCTGAAGGACCTTTTTTCATCACAAGACGCCTTCACAAATTGACAGAGAGCAGGCAAAAATTCTTATGGAGAAAGAATGCGAGGAGGCATTTAACAAACTGAAGAATGTTTTAACATCTGTGATAATCCTGACGTATTGTCAACAAACTATTTATTCTTGACATGGATGCCAGCAATGAGAGTGTCTGTGTCCCAAGAAATAAACAGTCAAGAACGTGTTGTGGCATACTGGAGCGAGGGTGTAGCTAAACCGTAGAGGAATTATTGCGTCACCAGAAGATAATTGCTCGTCGTAGTTAAAACCGAATACCATTTCCACCATTACCTCTACAGCAGAAGATTTTTCTCCGTACAGATCATGCATCAAAGACACGGCTCTTAAATTTCAAGAATACTGAAGCCTCAATAGCCAGACGGATACAGAGACTCCAGGAATATGACATCACTATCCGTCGTCGGATAGAAATATCACACGGAAACGCCCATGTCCTATCTAGAAGACTCTTCCCAGAAAGCGAAATACGAGACAGTTAATCAGGTTACACTCAAGCTGTAACTTCAAAATCATATGACCCAGACCTATAGAGTGACAAAGGAGCCCAAGAAGACAATTTAGAAGATGTCGACATTAAACCGATAATCGACCTAATGGAATCTTAAAATAGGAAATCTAACTGTCAGGACATTTCGATCTGTAGCCCTAAGACAACACATTGTTGCCTTAATAAAAGCTCCTTGATAGTTTTCATAACTCAGCAGGATTGGAACCAAAATTTATCTCTGTTTTTACTTGCCGAACGCAGAGTAGTGCACAAGAGTACCGACTATTCCCATCCCAGATACTCTTCAGTCGTGATCTTCTTCTGCAGTGTTACCGATTGTTTGGTCGCCCTACGGATGTGCCTTCATCGCAAGAGGAGTATAATAAAAATCTCCGGGCACGGTTTGAAGGGATGCAAAATTTTGCACGACAGCGCGTCAACTCGGTGATGGAGAATGTGATAAGCCGATAAATCACAAGAGCTACAGAACATCGACTGAACGAAAGTGAAAAGGTGTTATTATGAAATTTGATATGACGGAAATGACTTTCTGCTAAAGTACAGTTATCCTGGTATCGTCCTTACGTAATATTAATCAGGCAGTACGACACTATAGTTTGGATCCGTACGGCATCAAAACCTAAGCCTGAAGTCGTTCATTACAACAGACTGGCCCTTTGTGGCCCTTATAGTATATATAATGTAAATAGTGTGACAAGACCGTGGTCCTATTTTTATAGAAATTTGTAAAGTTATGCATTTATTTATTGACTTAGTGTTCGGTTTGATATATGTTATTTATTGAAATTTTTGTTTTAGCATTGCATTGATTTTTTCTAGTTGTAAATCTGTTCTTGTTTCTCTAGTTGTTTCTCTAATTGCTACCTAACCAGGGACTGTAATGTTTGGCGCATGCAGCCCTTAGAAAGAGTGCAATACTACGAATTTTGTATAATGTGCCATGAACGGCCTTGAAAAAAGCGAGGCTTTTCCATAAAAATAGATTAGAGAGACAAGTCTGTTATTGATATAAATGGTTATCTCGCTAAATTGGAGAGATACTGCCAAACTGGCGATGGTTTGAAAGACTAAATTTTGCCACCGAATTCGGCAAGAAACCGCCAGAAATCGCTACATTTGGTGGCGACCATTTGACATAAATGACGATTTGACCATTTGACATAAATCATTTATGTCAATTTGACAATTGACATAAATGATTACGTATATACCTTCTAGAAATTTCTAGAAATCGAAGGTATAGAAAATTTCTCGGCAATCAGGCGAAAAATATATATGAGCGGAAAGAGCATTATTTCTCAGCTTTCAGTTCAGATTCAATTTCGAAATTGGTCCGATTGACAAAACTCATAATGTTCAGGAAAATAGCTTGTGGCCCTTTTCTAGTTTTTCGCCTATATAGTTTAACTATATGAATAAAATAGTTGTTGTAAAGAAAAATTACATAACGATTTTAAAGAATCTAACGCAACTTTATAAAATCATTTAATATTTTTAATTAGTTATGCCATGAATTTAATGCAATTTTATTTAAAGGAATGAGATTTAAAAGTAAAAAAGATATGAGCTATGTTTATTGCTTTTAAATCGCTCATTTTGATAATCAGTAACAGAAAGATTAATTTTGAAAATGAACTATCCTTTGCTTTGACGAATGGCAACATACTTGCGCTCGGTAGATAGAAGTACTTTATTTCAGGCAGTGACAACTCTTTACTTTAAATTAGCCTAATTAATTGGTTAAATGTGGAAGATAAATATTTTATATTTTACCGAATGACAATGAACTGGCGTACCAAAAAAATGTTTTATAGCAAGCAGTTTCAACACACAACTTTTAAATCGCTGTATTTGATAACAAAAATTTCATTAAATTCACGGAAAATATGAAATAAATGAAATACATATACCAAATTCCGGCTTCGAGGTATCCCATGTTCAAGTGGAGGGATATGTGTATTAAAATTTCGTGGCTCTAGGTGCCGGAACAATGTGAGGAACATGCATAAATATATACATATAGATACTTTAATATCTAATAATAGAGTTAGTCATCAGCTCTGATATTATTTGGCAAATTCGTCAAAATTAGGGCCAATTATTCCACTGGCCAAACATTATGAATGATATTTAAATAGCAACGAAATATTACATTTTTAATGGTCTCAATACTACAGACAATTTATTTAAATACAAATCTAAGTGTTCTCGTTCAGCTCCAGGTTATTTTAATTGGCCATTTTTCCAAAATCTGCGGTCTTTCAGTGTTTTGATGCTCGTAACGTAAAAAAAGCTTCACTGCTTACTATTCTGCAAAAAGGCTGTTCCAAATTTAAACCTTTATATCCACCATTTTCATAATAGAAGTGAAGGATCGCTGAAATTTAGTTTATTACTCGAAGAACTCGGTAGAGCACTGAAACTCGTATTAAGTATTTGTGAATTGAATGGGTGATGTAGTATTTAATTAAAAATAATTGGTGATCGAATGTTACTTTAAATCAAATTACAGCATTTTATTTTAAATTAAAAAAATGTATAATAAGGACAAGTAAAAAACACTGAAATAAAATGTCTCACAAATTGATTTGACACTTGCGGTTTCGAAAATGATGTCAAAATACTTATAATCATTATATTGAAACTGTAAAATAAAAATCACAAAGACCGGGCGAGTGCAAGGGTATTTTCGTGTTTTCCTCCTTGTATGAAGTGAATTTGAACCAGCTTTCCTTATATAGACTACTAATAGTTCAAATTAAGTTCGAGGCTAGGCGAACAGGCCGTTTGCATGGTTAATTTTAGTGGATTTCCAAATGTATAACTTGAATACCAGTTTCTCTCAGAAAAACCTCCACGAATGCATTCCTCCCCTTGGTGATATATCCCTCAGCCCTCTTGTGGTTGCCTGTAACTTAACCCTTAAAGTCCTCTCTCTTTAGATTAACAACTAATGTGCAATATTAAGTTAAGAAAATCAAATGACTCAAATGTTCTATGTGAGGATCCATGCAAGAAAAGCAGATATCATCTTTGTGTATCTGGAAGCCTAGAGTTCTTTGATCGCTCAATAATACATAGTTCCTCAAAAAAACTGTATCATGCATATGCATACATATTATTCATAATATAAAATTCTAACATATTTGAAGGACTCCGAACAGTTAAAAAGTTTCAGGGAAATGTCATTGAATGATGAGAAATGCAATTTCACTCACTTTCAAGAGGGGGGGGAGGGGATACATATCAATATGTAGTGCTGCCATCTGTTAATGAACATAAGAACTATGCAAGCCCAAGGTATCAGTAATGTTATTGCAGGTCTTCCATTTGTAGCAAACCTGCTCTTATATGAGCACTTATGGCTACAGATGATTTTGGTCTTTTATAGATT